AAGGCTTTCCTGTCCGTGTGTCAGCGGGAGGAAGGTGACCAGCACGGAAAGAACAGCGCTGGGAGCGACTCCGGCGCGGCTCCCTTGTGCCAACAGCTCTTCCCAGATCCCAGCCCCGGTGCCGGCCAGAAATAGAGTGGATATTTTCAATCATCTCTTTGCTAACAACCCTCCCCCCTCCCACACGCATCCTCCGGGGCTTCCTTCGTGCCAAGGGGCTCAAGCACTGGGGGGTCGGTGCTTTTCCCCACGAGGATGCAGGAGGTGATGGTGATGGTGATTCATCCCGTGTCCTGCTCACCGTCCGGTGTGGGAAAAGTGTGCGGGAAGGAAGGGTGGGCTCTCACCCCGCATCACCGCGGGAAGTCCTTGAGGTCAGGGCTCTACGTGGGGCTTCAAAGGGGGAGCCGCTCTCCTCCACCCATGCAATGGGAACAGCCGTGCCAGCACCTCTCGGAAAAGCGTGGCAGGGATCCAGCCGGGGGCAGCCCTGGCTGGGAGGGGCTGGGTGAGAGGCAGGGCAGTTCCTGCAGGGGAGGGTGGGAAATCACTTAAAAAGGTATAAATCAAGCGGTGGAGTGTCCTCTTGGCTCTGCTGCCAGCCCCCTGTGTGACTCTGCTCCTCCCCGCCTTGTGCCTCAGTTTCCCCTCCCGCCTTGCTGGCATCTCGGCCGGTGGCCAGCAGCCATTGGCATGCTTGATCCAGGGCAGGGGGTGGCAGATGGCTGGAGAGGAGCCTGGTGAGGTGGCTGTGTCTCCAGGGCCACCCCGGCGCCCTCCTAAGCTGCTGCAGCTGTGGGCACTACTTGGTGACGGCCGGCTGGGATAAACATGGGGGGCGTACAGGGTGGATGGCAGGCAGGGCCAAGGGCTTGGGGACGTGCTGGGAGGGCTGGCGCCGTTGGTCCCCACCACGGTGTGGGTCAGGAGGTGCACCAGACTGCCATGCTGCTCCACACACCTCAAAAGTGTGCGGGACACCACAGTCCCCTCTCCCATGCCCTGGGGGACAAAGACTTGGGGCTGAGCCCTGCAACCCCTAAGAGGATTTCTCTGGCTGGGGTGGTGGGGTGGGGGCTGTGGCAGGCCCCCCCCCCCCCCCCG